AAGTCATACAAAAGTAGAAGTAAACAAAGCATAAAATAAAAGGAGACCTCAGAAGAACATATCTACCTCATGAAAGTAACTGCCAAAGTTAGCACATTTACCCTGAATGCCCTCTCATGAAGCCTAGCTCCAGAAATGAAATTTAGGGTTTAATGCATAGCTTTGCCTTACAGCTGTTAGAGATGTGGCAGCTCAGAGATGCCAACCAGGTCTTGACAGTATGTACTGCAAATGTTACTTCTTCTGAGGATGCTGTCAATGGGAGAGCACTTGCAAATGGGCAGACTGGGAACCACCACAGTGGGCTATGGCAAGCAGTTTGTAGCTGGTTCCCAACACTGTTCTGCTACCAAGAAAGTTCTGCATGAAAGATCTGACTATAAAAGTGTGTAGTCTTTGTTATGGCTTTGTTTATCAGAAAGTACAAGGTAAACCTTGGGGAACTGCTGGAATTGTACTTAATGTGGACTTAGATACAGGTAATTTTGTATAGCACGGAGGCAGTTTAGATTCTGGATGGTTTGCATTTCCTACACATTTGTACCTTTGTATGTAATTGAAGTTATCATTAACCCCTTTTCTAAATCCAAACTGAAACACAGAATGACTGTTTTGCAGTTATACCTTAGCTATTTTTATCTGAATAATTAAAAAGATGTGCACATGAAACTCAAGCTGCCCAGAGAGATCATTAATATTACAACAAAACCAATCCTGCCAGCAGTCAGTGATTGTCTCTTTCAGAAGGATCTTGGAGAGCCTCCTGGTGATGCAAAAGCCTTTTTTCACCCTCTCATAAACTCAGCCCTCCAACAAAACCCTATTAAATTATTCTGCAGACAAGGGCTCAGTATGTTTGGGCTGTTTGTGATGACCTCATAGCAGCCTTCCAATATCTGAAAGAGGCCTGTGAGGATACTGGAGAGCGATTCTTCACCAGGGACCATGGCAATAGGACAAGGGGTAACAGGTTTAGACTTAAATAAGGGAAGTTCAGGTTAGATATAAAGAAGTTCTTTACTGTAAGGGTGGTGAGGCACTGGAATGGGTTGCCCAAAGAAGTTGTGAATGCTCCATCCCTGGCAGTGTTCAAGGCCAGGTTGGACACAGACTTAGCAGACATGGTCTAGTGTGAGGCATCTCTGCCTATGGCAGGGGGGGCTGGAACTAGATGATCTTAAGGTGCTTTCCTAACTATTCTATAATTCTATTTCAAAGAGAAGGAAAGCATTTCTGTACCACTGTAGGATGCCCCGCCAGCACACAAAGTGGGAGTCCAACCTGAGTAGGGGTGTCACTTTGGCTGGGGACAGCTGGTCACTGTGCATGGGCACAGCGAGATGCTTTCACTTCAGGCACAGCAACCTGGAAAAGCAACCCATACTGACTGATAGAGCTCTTAACAGCTCATTGCTGCCCGAACTCTGCCTGCTTGGAAGAAGGAATGGCAGCAAGTAGGAGCCATAGGTGATACCAGTGTGGGAGACAAGTGGAAGATGGGTGGCCCTATTTCTCAAAGCCTCAGGGGAGATTTGGCAAGTGAAGCTCTGCTGCTCAAACCCAGTCAGCAGCAATACAGGAAAGCAAAACTTGGGGTGAGGCATTCAGTGTGAGACCTGATTTAAAAAAAGCTTTGTTAGTTCTCAGCCAAAATACAGATGGGACAGCTTCTGCAGTGGGACTCCACAGAGACCCATTGCAAACAGGGATTCTGACATGTGCCGCCAGCTCCACGGGCAACCCACCACGCTGAATGCAGGCTTTTTTAAGAGGTGCAGTGAACCCAAAGGCATTACAGGAAAAAAAAAATACATTGATGTAATGAAGAGTCTTTATACCAACATCCAGAATCTGGTAACACTGATGAGTTTCTTAGTGCCTCCCTGCCCCAGATTAAACTGTAGACCTCAGAAGAAAAATTTGGCTTGTTATGTAAGAAAGTAGGCTTAGCTTTATCTTAAAGAAGTCTACTTATTTTGTTCTGTTGTTCTCTCTTCCTTTAGGTATCCACACTAGAACAGATTACAGATAAAAGTGTGCTTTAACATATTAGGTCTTGTTTTTGCTCTCTGTGATAATATATCTGAGGGATGACTGTGCCAGACTGTGCCACACTCGGTGTCTAAGCCAAACAGGCATGAGGGTGCATCACTGTTAGCTCTTATTTTCCCCACTCAAAAAAGAAAATTGGTAATTTAGCAAAGACGCAGAGCTGGATTCTCACACTCCCTGAGCAAGACAGCAAGGTGGCTGATGTCCACCTGTGAGCTTCAAGGCAACAGTGGGAATACCAGACCATATCTCAAGAGCCTGTGATGCACAGGAGCAGAAAGCGATACCCCCTGCCAAAGTACTGCAGCTTGGCTTCCTCAGCACTACTGCTGGCTAATAAGCCTCTGTAATACAAGTCATTGGCCACAGGCAACAGTGCTGCCTTGTGAGGCTGTGCACCTTCCCTGGAGGAACGGATATTGCCACAGCCAGGGAATAGGCAGGCTGAGGACACGCTCTTTGCTGTCTTGCCTGTAGAGCATCTCAGCTACCAGACTACCAGGCCAAATGGACTGAATACCTGCTGGCAGGAGTCTTAGGCTGGCAGAGCACCACTAACAAGTCATGTGTGTAGAACAGGTATGAGGGTACAGAACCTGTGTTTTGTACCATGCTCTTGATTTGCTGTTGTTCCACTGTGGCTACCAAGATGTGGCATTGGGACCTACACCTTTTAAATGGCTAAGTCTGGTCAGTGCTATGCAGGTCATAACCAACCTCTTAACATCTGGTTTATGAGCAGCACAGCAAGGCTGCGGGGTGTCTGTGGGGATGTGTATCTGACATACCATGAGGCACATGGGTTCTGAGCTGAGGCTTCTTGTGCTGTGTCCCACAAGGCATTGCTGTGCACTGGACAGTTGCAGCCTCCAGGAAACACTGCACCCAGAGCAGGAGTAACATATCACAAGGTCCTTCTCCGAAAGAAGGGTGGCAGTCTCCTTGCTGAACACGTTAAACAACTGACTGGAGTACTGCTGTAATAATCTGGGGGCAACCAGTTTGCCTTACTGTCTCCTTGCACCTGTAAAGCATCTCAATGCCAGCAAAGGCATGAGCAAGACTACCAAAACACTTTCAGAGCATAAATTGCACTAATGCTTCCTCTGAAGTACCAGGCTTGCCTGCCTTGCCGAGGGCAGCACTGGAGGAGAATGATTTACTCCCTCTTTACCTCTCTCCTCTTCCTCACAGGTTATCCCCACTTGTGCTGGCCACTGACCCAAAACAGGTTTTAGGATAGCTCATTTGCCTCTGAAAGAAAAGCAGTGGCAGCAGCTGGGATGTGGATACCCAGGACCTTTCTCTGCCCTCACAGAAGCTTTGATCCCATCTGTCACTGGATCCCTCTTATCAGTAACACAGCAAGCAATTCCCTTGCAGCAGCAAAAGCTGAGACCAGTGAGCAGGTTGTGACTGGCCAGATTTATTAGGCTGTCTGCCACTTGAAACAAATCTTCAGCCTGAGATTTACAGGTGCTGTAGCAGAGAAAACCCACTTTTCTTCCTTGTGTCTTCATTGCCCTTTTGTAAGAATTTAACAAAACCTCATGCTGCAAATCATCATTTGTGGCATAAAGCAGCTGCTGCTCCCACATTCTACTCTTACTTCACTACCTGTGCATCATCTGTAGTGTAAAATGCCCCAAAGCTGTGAATAAGGTGCTCAGCCAGCACCTCACTAAGGAGGAGGGCAAAGGAGCGCAACAGATTAGGAGGGAGCAACCTGCGTCTGCAAGATGTGCTGAGTCCCTGAAACCTCTCTGATCCCATTGATTCCCGAGAGCAGGGCGTCAGCACAGCGTCAAATGCATGCTATATATCAAACATGAGGCTCTTGTGCTGTAGCCTGTGATTACTGAACACCTGTAAAGAACAAGTCAAAAGTGAGGAATATAATCAGAATTTTGCAAGGAGCTACTGCAGGACAGTGCCAGAGCACAGCAGTGTTCCTGGTGAGTACAGGCAGGAGGCAGAGACACTTGCTCTCAATGATGTTGTACAGTAAAACTAAATGCAAATCCGGCTACCGCTGGCACTTGGAAAAGCTGGTACATGGCTCTGAACTCAGCTCATCTTCCTCCTTTGTCTAATCTTTCCTATACTCTGAGGTAAAGCCCAACAAATCTGATCTAAAAAGCCCTGGTCATAGACCCCATCTATCTCCTACTGGAGACTGAAGGTTGCTCCATTTGTATGAAAAATCAGGTCACTTCTATTGACTCTGGTGACTTAATAAAACATGTAAATTGCAGGAACTCTCTGGAGGAGCTGTGTACACACCACAACATCTGATGAAGGACTAAACGTTTGGGCGGCCGTATTAATCATAAAACAAATGGCACCATCTGCATTTTAGGGTCACTGTGTTGTGCAGAGCTATGGATATTGGGCAGAATACAACGTGAGTTCTGGTCATGCCATCACGGGGCATACAAGGCTCCCCCTGCAGCGGGGAGGCGGCAGCCCAGGATGCGCTGGGACCCTCAGTGTCAGTAAAATCCAGCTACCTCGTGGGCTGAGGGATGTGAAGTCACTTTGCTTCCTTTTGTGCGTGTAAAGGCGTTCTCCCCTGTGACCGAGCATCAGAGGAACAAAAAACTACCGCGGTGTGCCTGCTAAGGGCCGGACACCGCGGTGTGATGGATTGGGTGGTGGCCTTCGCCCCACATACGGGGTAACATACGAGGCCTCTGCTCAGATCACGGCTATTTCAGGAGGACAGGCTTTCACACAATACCCCACTGGCGGAGCGCGGTCAGCAGCGCCGCAGGCATTTTAGCCCTGCCTTTCGGGCAGCGCCTGCCTACTCCTGGTACCCCACTCCAGCCCTGGGCCGCCGGGGCAACCTCCGCAAGGGCAGGGCAGGCCCAACCCTCCCCTCCCCACCGCCTTGCGCAGCCGCGCAGCGAAGGCTGAGGGAGCCGCCGGAGCCGCCCACCGCGGCAGGGCCGGGCCGGGCCGGGCCGGGCAGGGCAGGGCAGGTGCGGGGCTAGGTGCTCGGCGGGGGATGCGGTGCTCGGGCGCAGCATGCTGTGGGGGGTGGGCCTGGCGGCGCCCCGCTCCTGCGTGGCGGACCTGAGCCGCAACCGCAGCCTGTCGCTGGGGTGGTGTGCGGGTCCCGAGGAGCCGCCGCCCGCCTTCTATGGGGGCGAGATCGTCGCCTTCCCGCTGGCGGGCGGGGGCGCGGGCGGCACCATGGCGGCGCTGAGCCCCGACTCCTGGTGGAAGAAGACGCTGTACCTGACGGGTGGCGCGCTGCTGGCCGCCGCCGCGTACGTGATCCACGAGCTGCTGGCCATACGGTGAGGATGCGGCGGGGGCCGCGGCGGCAGGGCCTGCACGGGACACTGGCGCTGTCCGCGGAGGAGCGGGGCTGAGGCGGCTCTTACCTGAGGGAGAGAGGGCGCTGGGGCCTGGCCGGCTGGTACCTCCGCTCCTCCGCGGTTTTGCCATTTACCCCTTTTTATAACCCGGTTTTCCCCCATTTCCCGTCCGCAGCAGCGCAGGAGGCGGCAGGAGCCGCGGTCGCCTCCACAGGTGGCCCAGGGCGGCGGCGGGGCCGGCAGCCCCTGTGCTGGTGCTGTGCCGGGCACTGCTTGCGCTCACTGGTGCTGGATGAGCCGAGCCCCAGAGCGGACTGGGCTCCAGATCGGAGCATCACCTCACTGCTGCAGGCCGTGATGTGTAAGCTGCCTCGGTCAGCGTTTTTCCTGTGTGTGTTCAGTGAGCTGGTCACGCACGGGTTCGGGTTTGGTTATTTATTTGTTTTTAATTCTGCTTTGTTTCTGACAGGAAGGAGGAAGAGCTGGATTCGAAAGATGCTATCATACTGCACCAGTTTTCAAGGCCTACCAATGGCGTTCCAAGTTTATCTCCATTCTGTCTGAAAATGGAAACTTACTTGAGGATGGCTGATCTGCCCTATCAGGTACATTGGCCTGTTTTTCTTTTTAATTTCCTATATTGCAGCTATAATTGCGTGAAATAGTAAATAGGCATCCTGGCTCCCTCCTCCTCCCTGCCCCGAGTCTGTCTCACCTAGGAAGATGTAGACATACACCTACAACTGGGTGGGTACACTTCATGTCTTCAATTAAATTTGGTATGTAACCTTTGAAGATGTGGCTTGAAATGAGATTGGTCTGGGACAGCTCTAGGTTTAACTGGCAAGGCTACATGAATGTTAGAAGTTAACTTGGCTGGAAATGCTGAAGTGGGAATGTAGTCTGGAGTTTATATAATACTAAAATAACACCCCAAACCTAAAGCATAATGGTCTTTGAATTTGACCATACCGAAGAGATCAAAGTTCAATAGCTGCAGCTTCTTACTTTTCTGGAGGGTTTCTCTTTAGAGCTCTCCTGGGAAGACATGCCTGCCTTTTGCTTCACCTCCCATCACTGGTGCTTCTTCCCAGTGAAGGGAGACAGGATTGCTTTTAGAGGTTGTGAACACTGCTCCTTAACTGTGGTCGGATGCATTCCATGCCATTTTCCCACAGGGCAGGGGATGAAGCTTGAACTAGTCTGATGAATGTAAGCCATGAGAGCAGGAATAGTATCAGGGTTGAGTTGCGATGCTGTGAGTCTGGTGTGTGCCTTGATGTGGTGTCAGCAAGCTATATTGCATACAGGCTCTTTGAAACATGGGGCCAGTTTCTTGTCTGATTGTGTAAAGCATTGAGTACATTTCAGGTAATGGAACAGTGGTGATAAATATAATGAGGATCTTGGGCAGAAGAAAGCTCCTCACTTATGTAAATTTGGCATCCTTCTTTGTCTCAAGGTGACTAAGCTGCATGCTCACCCCAGTTGGATTCAAGTCACTTACTACTGCTGCATGCCAAGGTGCTAAGAGGAATGGTTTGTTTATGTCCGGTATTTTATAGAGGAAAACCAACCATATTACAACTCTTTTTTTCCTACACATTTGTGATTGATACTTATTTGGCTTCATATGCAATTCAACTCCTTTATATTGGAAGTGAATGAAAATCCCTAATTAGTACATTTTAAAAGCCTGAGTTTAGTGTTCATTATCTTAGGATTTAATGGTACTTGAATCAGATTCTTCAGAGTATTAAAGAGGAAGATTTCCATCTGTGGGATGTATTTTTTTGCATTCAGGTGTGCAGAACCTGCAAGATACTGAAGTTTAAACATGTCATTGGAGCAGGAGGACTTAGTGTACATTGTTTCTCCGCCTAGTGTAATTTGGGTAGAAAATGCACATTTGAAAGAAAAACTATTTTGGTGAGATCTGTTTTCTTTCTAATGGCAATTGATGTGGTTCAGATGTTTGTGTTTATTAAAGTTGCTTTGGTGGAAAGTGGTTAAAGAAAGCTGCAGTATAAGAGATGGTTGTGGTAGGGTATGGTCACTTGTAAAAGACAGCGCAGCGCATTTGTGTGGTTCAGGATGGAGCTGTTCAGACAGCTCATGCTGGGTAGAAGTGAGTCGTTCAGCATTTTGGATGGAGACCGATTTCCGGAGGGTTATCCTCCCCTCTTTATTTTTTCTATACTGAAGGTCAGCATTGTTTTTGGGGGTTGCATCTGTTTCTATCCCTGCTTGCTAGCTGTGACCACACTAAGCTGGCGTAGGTCAGCAGGACCACCAAAAGCAACAGTCTTACCTCTAGCAGCTCCCACTTGTCCTTCCCTGCATGTGCTTCTCTGTGCCCGATCAGACTGGGACAAAGCTGGCCTAGCTGGAGCCATGGAAGTTTGGTTTATTTGGTTTTAATCCACCTTGGTTGCCCACATGCTCTGTGTGCCATGCTGGAGGAACAGGAATGGGTCCTGTGGGTGCTGGGGAACACCAGGTTGCTGATTTTAGCTATGCAGGTTTATACAGGCTTGAGGTGTTTGTGGGATTACCAACCCTATGCAGGGTTTTAGAGGTAAGTTTGGAGCTAATCTTACAAGCTGAGGATGCAGCTTTTTTCTCCCCAGAAGAGGCAAGATTCTATTTCTGCCCTTGTGTTAGGAGTATAATGCTGTTTTGCTCTGGGTGGAGGAAGGTGTGGATGCTGCTGTGGGATTAAGTGGTAGGAGAGCAAGAGGGGAGCAAGCAGGTACATCCATTCTCAGCTGGAGTTACGAGTTTTCCTGTACTTGGACTACATGGAGACTTTTGATTCATGTGCTTGTGGCTGCATTACCTGTAGAACACTGGAGGTAACAGGGGCACGTGATAGCTCCTCCAGCAGGGAGTGCGGCTGGATGCAGGAGGAAACACCTCACTTCTGTATGTGCCAATGGGGGCTGTGGTGGAGAAGCGATGGCACTCCAGGTGGTGGTGGGTGCCAGGGCTCACCTCTGGAGATTTGCTGTGGTCATCACATGTCAAATAACATGCTGTGTTACACAACAAGGTTTTAATGGCATGTGAGAAATGCAACTGGCTGACACATTCCTATCTTACTCTCACCTGAATTTCTCCCAGCAGATGTGCTCTTGTAATGTGTTTTCTTGAAGCTGCCTTTCTGGGTGTGAGTTCCCCACTAAAAATAATTAGGGCAGCCCCCACCCTGGCTGGGCTGTCATAGTATCTGGCTGTTCTTTCAAAACCTTTGATGCTTTAGTTGATAAAGCTTGCTTTGAAAGATCCCATTCTGCATTATTGTGGAGATCTTTTGGTGTTTCTTGATTCCCTCGTGAATGTGAAACGCTGAGGGTTTATGTAATCTGATAAGTAACTAGCACAGCCTGCAAAGATGGTAGGCTTCTTGAGAAGAGACTTTTACTTCAGTAAAAGTAAAAGCATAAGCAGCAGTAATTGAAAATGTGGAGCCTAATTTCTTCTGGATAGTACTATAAAATTAGCCTAGAAGTGCCCTGTGCCATTCTGTTTATAAATTCCTCCATAAATGAGGTTCTGGGAAACTCTTCTTATTGTTGCTCTGCAGGCTGCAGTTCAGTTAAATGTACTATGAGGTGTGAGGGGATATTTTGTTGGGTTGTTTTTTTTAAAAAATAATAACATAGCTTTTTCCCGATTTGCAGCTGGAACAATTTGTAAGTGGAAAATGGATAAGTATTTGATGGCAGTTAGTAGCAGCCATAAGGATACTGAGGTTTCAAGCCTAAAAATACCCATCTGAGAACAGCGGATACAAGAACAGTATAACAGATTTGTCAAGAGACTAAGGTTTTCTCAGGCTATGTTTCCTAAGAAACATCCCTAAGATGTTTCCTATTTTGTTTGATAAACTGTATGCAATGAAACATGCAAGTCCTGAAAAGACTTTTTAAAGTTTAGGCAAACCAGTTTTGCTGTGAAAACCTTAGCTCTCATTTGTGTTTTTGGGAGTGTAATATTAATGCAGTGCTAACAAGTTTTTATGCAATGTGTTTTTGTTTATTATATATATATATGTGTTCGAAGAAATATGCAGCTGAATAAGAGGAACTTGCTTTTTTTCTGGATTGCAAATGATATGGACTACAGTAATTGCAATACATAATAAACACATCTTCAAGTCTAGCAGCTTCTACAAAACACCAGTGTGTGCGCAAGAAGAGAGATCTCATACTGGAGGGGCTTAACCAAAGATTAAGCCAGAAATGCTCAGTGCCATATAGACACACTGTGTAGTTCCAGAAAAGGCTTGTGATTGCATAGTAAATTCATAGTGAAAAATTATGGAAACCTGAGTGCTGAAAGAGTCTTCTTGATGAAGTAAAGGTCTGGAAGGTGGAAGGATGTGGCAGTGTTCTCCTTTCAGTTTTGGATGTTCAGCAGTTTTAGAGTTTCTCCCATGGACCAGAGTAATAATTCCCATTCACCCACACATGCAAGCGGAGGGGACTTGGCTACTTTATTCACCCATGCAAGGATGCAGTAGACGAGACATTATATAATCAGGTGTCCCTACCATGCTATTTGTTTGAGCTGGAATCCTGGAAGAGGCCACTACCAGAAGTCATTGTTTTCCCAGCAGCATTACCTGCTTTGTGTTTTCATCCACAAGGGAAAGGCCTCCAGGAATGGCTGCGTGTTTGTAGTGCATTGCACATCTGTGTTTGAACAAAAGCCAGAATGTGGTGCTCTTAGACTGAGCTGGAGGAACATTCTGGTGTATGCTCCTTGCCGCAAGAGGACCATGATCCATCTTTAGTGGATTCAGGAAGGGTAGATACTTGGTACCTAAACAAGTCAGTCCAGAGCTGCTAACCCAAAACCTCTAGCAATGAGGAGCTACATCCGGAAGTGCTTAAGGTGACTGCCAGAGATAGTGCAGGGTCTTTATTGTGAGCCCTTATGGCTCAGCTTTCTGAGCTAGGATTTTTCATTCACTAAATAACAGGACTCAAGGACAGGAATCACAAGAAAAGAAAAAAGTTCTGCCTTGTGTCTTTGCTTTAAGGAGTAGGACACAATTGAAGTTAAATGCTCACATTTTGACAGCCAGCAATTCCATCGCGTGAGGCATAAAGTTTCTGACTTCTGTTTCATCTTCTTCAACTGTAAACTGGGGGAAGATAGATGACTACTTCTGTGTGAGTGCTATCCTGAGCAGACACAGCAGTATTTAGCAATATACTAGTGCTGTACTGGTGTTGGGCTGTTGGAGACCCAATTGTAACAATTGTAAGTGTATGAGATTTCTAAGTTACAAAGTGGCAGAAGAGAGAGAGAAGGTAAAGGCAGATTTCCTTGCTGCTCAGTGAGAGAATGATATGCCTTTCATTATACACTGGTGATTGTGTTCATTTCATCCTTGGAAGTAATGCAGCTGTCCAAGATAGGCAGTGAGTTAATCTTTGTAAAGTCCATTTAACATTAAAAGTGCTGCTCTCTGCAAAAGCCAAATGTAGTTGAGTCTTGTGATTAAAAACTTGTTGAGAATAATGGATCCAATCTTCTGGGAGACTGAGCACCTCCAACTCTTAAATAACCTGGGTGCTGAAATAATACTTCATCACTTGGCATCTAATATAATAGCGTATAACACCTCGCGGGGCCTGGAGACAGTTTTATCCTAGTTATCCTATAGACAGTTGGAGCAAGAACTCTGATTTGAGCAGCTGCTATTAGTGTAGAGTATTAATTTAAAACAAAACGAAACAAAACAAACCAAAAGTTTGTTGGATAATGTTGCCTTTAAAAATGCAGAAAAATATTTTAAAAGCTTTACTCACATTGAAACATAACCTGATGGTCCTTTTTTGTCTGTATGTCTCTTTGTTTACTTGCTTTGCTTTTTCCTTAGAACTATTTTGATGGAAAACTTTCCCCTCAAGGGAAAATGCCTTGGATTGAATACAATCACACTCAAGTATCTGGCACTGAGTTCATTATTGATTTTTTGGAAGAGAAGCTTGGAGTGAATTTGAATAAACACCTCGGTCCACATGAAAGAGCTGTTTCCAGAGCCGTGACAAAAATGGTGGAGGAGCACTTGTACTGGTGAGTTTGCATGGCAAAGCTGGCTGCATTCTTGTGGTATCAGATCTGCCCCTACGCTTGTGCCTGGATGTGAATGCTTATTTTCTCTTGCAGAAAGCTTGGTAATAATTGGGTACCCAATTATTAATTTTACAACTCTTCACCCTGGAAAGCTGCAGCTTCTTTCTATGTACACTAATATGAGCCAGGGGTAATTAATCTGAAAAGCTGTCATGCTGTGTAAGCAAGGTAAGGAGTTAGGCCCTTCGCCTGCAGCTTTGCAGAAGGGAGCAGCAGTGGGCTGTTCATCTGTCTTGATTTATGTGACTTCCATATAGAAACAGCTTTGTTAATAAGGATCAAAAACTCATTACATTTGTGGTTTGGGGGTGCAGGGGAACAAATTGGTGTTCATAGTGAATCTGCAATACTGTGTTTTTACAGTTACTAATTTTAATTATCTGTGCGTGTGATTAGAATATGGGTTATTGTCTTTTCTGTAACACAGGATACTCCTGCTGATGTGTTGTTGACAATGCTGCCAGTTGATAGGATACAGTATTAGTACAGTATCCTGGGAAGCTAAAGTACATGTATGAATGGAAAACATAAATATAACCTTGCTGGTACTTTAAGCATTTTACTGGCACTTTTGAAAAGAATACCTGTGCGTTCCTCCCCACCTTAAATTTCACTCCTTTTTAAATGCCTCTTCCAGTCTGGATTCATAGAATTAGCAGGTAGACATGGCATCTTGGATGCTGCATTGGCTGCCTCAACAAGCACAAGGCTTTTTCTGTTTCCTCCCCCCCAGCCCCCCCATTTATTTTTAGCCTGCATTTAAGTCCTGGCTATGCTAAGTCTTGCATTTATGTTGCACTTTTTTTTTTTTCCAAAACAACATGTGATTTAAATTGAATGCATTTACCTGCTTTTTCTTTCACCTTGTGATGGAAGATTAGCAGCAACATGTGTACATACAGTTCTTCAAATAATTTTTAGTGTTTCCTGGGAATAATTTTAGCATTCAGTTGGCAGATTAAAATTATATGGTTTAGAAATATAATCTCTGCCTTTCAGGAAGTGTGATCTTTATCAGTTATACCCATCTGTTAGTGCCATAGCCTCACAAATGTCTCAGGTAGCATGCAAATGTAACATTTTTTTTGTTCATTTTCCCCCCCTTAATTGTTCCAGCTGCCAAAGGGAAGAGGCCTTTTAATCCCCTAATGCTTCATCTCCTTGCCTTAGCTTTGTTTTTTTTTTTTTTTTTTTGTGATCCATAGACTTAACTGTTTAAATTGTAACATGACTGATGACCAATTTATACTGCTGCTGTCAGTTACAAACCACACTTTCCTCTGTGAAGCTGTTGTCTGTCCATCCAGGCTCCCTCTTGAGTTGATTTGGACACTGCTTGACATGATGTAGGGGAACATGGGAGGCAGGTATTCCAAATTCAGGCACTGACCCAGGGAGGTGGCTAGGCCAAGTAAGAATAGAGATATGCATGCGTGGCTTATGTGCCTGTTGTCTTTCCTGTTGAGTCATGCAGCTGAGTTTCCTTAAGGCATGCATTTTTGCTGCAGCATAGTGAAACATCCAACTGTAAGCCTTATTGCATGTCCCTGTTGTGTGGCTGTGCCAGAGGCTTGCTATGTTGGTGAGGTTATACCATGCTGGTTCTCTGCACTAGGCAAAATCTGAGCTATGAGGCATCACAGCTGTAGCACTGTAATTCCTGGTTAACAATTTTGACCATCTTGTAGATACACCAAAATAAGATCAGGCTTTAGCTGTGCAGGACCCCTTTAGCATTGTATCTGTGGTTGCAGAATCCCTTCACACTGGTTCTTGAACCTGCCCAATTTATCACCAGAAGCTTAGGGTTTGTTCGTGGTGTTCTCAAGTACCATCGTGAGGAATTTAAAACAGTGATCACCTTTCTGCAGATGAGGTTTATAAAATCAAGCCTCCAAAGCAGTGATATAAAACTTGATTCACAGTGTTTCATTGCCAGCAGCATGCAAAGTAGCTTCATCATGAATAAGTAATGCTATAGGACATTTATTGAACAGAGCAGCAAAGTACATCCTGTGGCTGCTTCTTTGGATGGAGGTAATTCTGGTGGGTGCTTAGCATTTCCTCCTGAAACGTTTTGGTTTTGCTGAGGTAATTGCTCATCTTTACCAATTAGTGCCTCTTACACGTGGAAATTGCTGCTCTGGCTGGAGCTGAGAGCAGTGCAGAGCTGTTGTGAACCTCAGCCTCTAGACACCCTGTCTCTGCCCCAGGCTACCTAGCAGGGGTCAGGCAGAAAGACAGCATTTGAGTGAGTGTATCTATTTTCATCCTTGGATTTGAGCATATCTCCAAGAGGCTCAAGACTAATTTGGAGCTGGTGCCGGAGCTGCTGTTTCTGGGGAATGCTATAACTATTAGGCTTTTGCTACATTTATGTTGGCAAAAGACTAAAAGACCGATAACCTAAATGGGTTAAGTCATCAGGGAAGAGATAGGAGCAGACCAGTTCTGTCGTGCTGACCACAGGTCCAGGCTCTGATGCAGACCTCTGTCAACTGCTCGCTTACCCTGGGTTGCCTCCATTGTCTCCAGCAGCTGTGTGCCCTCAGAAACCAGTGTGACATCCACGGCCACCTTTAGGATGTGTTAAGTTTTTGGTGTATCTGCAGCACATTTGTGGGATTGGACCTCAGTGGTAACATAGGTTGAGGACATCTGTTTCTCATGTCCTTCTGGCGCTGGCATACTGGGCTCAGTGGCACTGCCAGCTTTCAAGCCCGGCAGCTGCTGGTACCTGGAGGGCTGGCCATCACTGTGAAGTGCTTTCTGGTGCTTTAATCTCAGGTGAGGGATCTCAGGTTAGTGACACTGATGTGCTTAGTGAGAACCTAAAGCCTTGAATATGCAGCTTAACCACACTAATCCCTTAGATGGTATTTGACAATACAGTTAAACCAGCCGTAGTAATTTATAAGTAAGTGTGTGTATGTATACATGTGCACACATATGTATTTAACTCATTTTTTGCCTCGTCTTTCAAGAAGATGATGTAAACATAAGTGGTGAGTGCTTGAAGTCCAGGAAAAGCGTGGTATGAGAATACAAATAAATCTGACTTTGGTATTCAGACTTAAAATGTATTAAACATAAAATATGTTTATAGTATAAATGTTTAAATACATCAAGCCAATTGTAAGAGTGATGTTTCTCCTTCTATTGATGAGTCTTGAATGTCCCACATGGCTTAAAAACCAGTTGCTGTGGGAAGTTGAACAGCAGGTGGGGTTTCTACAGCTGACTGTGGAATTAATTTGCTACAGTCCTTTTGTATATCAAGAAGTTCCAGTCTGCACAGGTTCAGATAGGAAAAATAACCCCCAGTTCACATCCTTGTGAGCACCTCTCCCTTTTCTTGATGTACAGACAGTTTGGGGATAATCAAGCAAGCTGCTACTGATGAGTCACTTTCTCCATCTCCTCTCCTGATTTATGTATTGAGGCCAAAGCTGCTGTTACATTTAATCTTCAGATTTGCTTTACCTCCACAGCATTGCTCTTTAAAGCATTTTTGGTTTATTATACCCTTAATATTTGTACAGATGTCCTGGCACAAATGGGACTGTTAATGCTTCCCAAAATGCTCAGTTCAGGACAATATTTAAAGTAATCATGTCTTCCCATAAATACTAGCTGTAGCTTAAAATATATAGTTATGCTGAAGTAGGTTATATACGCTACCTGTTTTCTGGCATTTCCTTAACCTATTGTAGTGTTGATAATACTCTAGTAATGTAGTCTGAACAGAGGCGTGATGGGTGGGAGCATGTTTTGGTAGGAGGCAGATTAATGAGCCTTTGAATAGAATTATTTCAACAAAGTGCTTGTAAAGCCAGTTTTAAAAATGCTTGTAACTGTTGAATCTGAGCTTATTATTTTCTTTGCTTTTGCCTGCTCAGAACTATACAATTTTAGAAGTAAACTCTGTGGTTGTGTATTTAGCAGCCTTCATTGCTCATATAAATTTGAGATTTGGGACATGTGGCAACTTGACTAATTCAAGATGACAAGTAGATGTCTAAGACTGTGCTTGACAATTTAGCCTAAACAGGATTACCTAGATCCTGTGCAGCTCTGATCTTTCTGTACTGGTGTCCTGATCGTTAAAAGCTTGATCTCGTCTCTGCCTCTTCCAGACACAAAGACCTTCTCCCCCAGAGCGAGCAAGCAAGCACTAGGGAAATGTATTTTTACTTTAATGCATGAGCTAATTAGCTTTGTGGGAAACCTTGTTAATCCTGTCTCATGAAATTAAAAGCATCCTGGACATGGTTGGTCATTCTTGGTGCAGTAGCAGCTTGCTGGTGTGGTAGGAGTGAACAATACTGATGACAAGCCCACAGGGCTATGTTAATTGTGGTTGACTGGAGTGATGCTTTAAAAAGTGCTAAAGCAGAGTCTCCTCTTTTCCTTTTCTGTTTTGTTTTGCTGTCTTGCTGTCCCTTTCATGGCCAGGCCTGTTATCCTAAAGAAACTAGATTGTGTTGCAGAGTTGGAGGTGAAGCTGGTCAGGTCCACGCTGGGGAAGGAGGGTCTGTGCAGCAAGATACAGCAGTGCTCTCAGAGAAGAAGTTTTTCTTAGCTTATTCAAGCAATAAATGGTAACTTACAGATATAGTTAGTATTTGTAGTTATTTCCCAGTGTTCCAATCAAGACCACAGTTTTTTTTTCCCTATTCAGAGCTGTACCTGCCCAAGGGACTTTGTCCTTTCTCAGGCCCGTGAGTCACGACTACTGAAATGTTCTGCTCTACGGAACACCCTAAAGCTTTCAGTCCAGTCTCCTCTTCATCCTTCTTAAATCCTGTTTTACCTTTGGTCATGGAACAAGGCAATCTCACACCATGTTTTCTAGACAAAGGTTATATACTTCTGGAGTTTCAGTAGCTATTTATTCCTGTGCTTGCTTACTTCACGTTCCCATTTTGTGCTGGTGCCTCTCACTAACTCTGCCTTTGTTTCAAACTCTCCTGTGATGCAACCAGCCCATTGACTTGAGTTGATTTATCCATTGTGAAAAACAAGGATTGTGCAGGACACCCCCAGTTTGAAGAGTGGTACTGAAGTGTGTGAAGTGTCAGTGGTATGCTTTTGTCATTAATACAGCACAAGAGGTTGTGGAGAAAACCTCTGTTGAGGATAAAGCCACCAGTAATATAGCAGGGGCATCTTGTTCTTCAATGTTCATGCATTTGCAGCAAAACCTGCACATGCCTGACTGTTACTGACTTTAATGAAATCAATTTGAGCAGAAGGAATTGTTCTGCAGTGGACAATCTTTAATAGAGTTAAAGTGCCTTTCACCCACTCTGTCGGGAGCACTCTAAATTTGAGCTGTAAGTAGATTTGCTGTTATGCCAAATACTCTCCTTTTACTTCTTGTTATTACTAATCCAAGAATCTGAGGAAACTTAAAGGTTAGATCATTTTCCTATTGTAAACATAGTTGTTCCCTGATGGTAGTGCTGAATTCAGCTTCATGACATATAGGAGTCTAATTTAGAAAAGAAATTCACAGGAGTTCTCCAGGAGATACTACTACTATTTTTTGTTTGTTTGTTTTTAAATTGAATGAGGTAATCCATATCAGCAGTAAGGAGATTATGTGCAATGAGAAGTCATATTCCAAACTAAAAAAAAATGGCGCTCTAATCATACTGGAAATGGAAACATTTGATTATTAACTTTGTGTTTAATATAATTGCATGTGTGAACTTGCAACTTTTGATATTTCAACTTTAAGGGTCCAGTTTCACTATTTTTATTATGTCTCCATGAGCATGTTTTTATGTGACCTCAAATATGCAAATCCACATTTATATTTTTCAGTTTGGAAACTGATACAAACACAATAGAATATGGGTATCAACATGCAATGTTTCTGAGACTCTGTTGGCTTCATATGTCTACTCTGAGATGTTTCTAGTCCTTTTTCCAACATTCCTTGAATTTGGTCACAGAATTTGTGTGGTGCCTTTGATTTCTTTGTAATGTCAGAAGATGCTAGATATTCAGAAAGTTAATGTTCGTTTTTTCATAAGTTTCTTGAGTAGTGACAGCAAGAAACCAAATTTTTGTTTCCCTAAAATATTAGTAAAGAACAAAAAAATTCACTTAGGAAATAAAAATTTCACCTGCAAAGACAAGTTTTTTATAAAAGACCTTTCAAAAGAATATATTTGCCATTCAGTACAGCTGAAATGCAGCCTAAAATACAAGAGTCCTTTAGAAATGCCTTACTGATGAAATTGGCGTTTTGAAAAGAGGAAAAAATAGAGGACAAAACCTGTGACTGCTACAATATTTATGTTAGGGCACAGTTGCTTGGCCAAGTTTCAGCAGTATAGAAAATGAGGAGTATATGTTTGTAGGAAAGACTCGTTTCTTTGCGGGCTGTCTTGTTATTTTCCCCAGATCTGCACAGTCAATCATCTATAGCTAATAAATCTTTTTGGCACTGCATTTTGTTACATGAACTTTTATTTTGTGTTTCAATGTGAATCTCATTTTCTCTTGAAGTGAGTCATGATTTACTGAGGGAATAAGCACTGGGCAGTCTGCGTAAATACCACAAAGTCAAGTTTTCCCTGCTGTCACTCTTGAGTTGCATCAGGGTCTACTCTTCACTGGAAACCACCTCTCCATCAGGGCAGTGAGCACTCAGCATTAAGAAGTTCAGCATTAGTTTGCTGCCTACCCTTTGTGTGAGCCTTTGCAGGGGCTTGAATGGGCTATCTGGGTATTGCACCACTGTAACTTATTTTTATATCCTTCTAGGACTTTAACTTATTGCCAGTGGGTGGAAAATCTTCATGAGACGCAGAAGATGGTTTCGCTTTTTGGCCCCTTCAGTGACTTGCTGAAATGGATTCTGTGCCATCTGACCAAAGGGATTGTGAAGCGGGAGATGTTTGGCCATGGCATTGGCCGCTTCTCAGAGGAGGAGATGTACACACTGATGGAGAAGGACATGCGGACTCTAGCAAGTCTCCTGGGTAACGTACAGCAAGTTACATGTGTTCTCTTTTTTTGCACCCCACTGTCTGCAGGATGGAATCAGCTGGCAGGTTGATTGTGTGCACAATCTCTTTTTGTCAATAGGCAGAGTCCACACTGCTTTGTCATTCAGTGCCACCCTCACTCTGGCAGGGACAAGTGTTTCTTTCCCTGCTGTTTGCCGCTAAGTTGTGTGTTTGGAGGAGTAAGTGGCACCGGGTATGCATATCTACAGGAGCAGAACGTGGCTTGTGATTTTAGAAGAGCTTTTTTCTACGTGAGTTCAGGAAAACATAGTGTTTAGTTCTGCAAATGAAACTTGCTTATATTTTTTTTGGGGGGGGGCTTATTTTTCTTCAAGAGACTCATGGCTGTTTGATAAGATTGTTAGGAGGCTGCCATTTGAAACTCTTTGCAGATGTTATTTTGATAAGTTGGACTTTGTATTTTATTGGTATTAGCAGCTTTATTCAAAGCTGCTAGTAGAAGATAGGTCTGTGTTGTTAAAATAGGTGGTTTTAAGCTTCTTAATTGCCATGGATGGATCCCATGGAGTTAGCCTTAAAGTTGTCCACAGTTAGAACAGTATGGACCTTGTTTCTGTTTTGTAGCTTAGGCTGAAATCTGCACTGGAGCTGTCTACGCTGTGCTGCTCCCCTTGCAGTGTGCTGAGAGCTAACCATCTTGTGCTTTTGTGTAAAATTTGCATTTTGAGGAGTTGGTTTGGAGCAGGTTGTTTCTTCCCTTGAGCTTGTGCCTCTCTGGCACAAAGAACCAAGAGAGATGGTACACATGTGACTGCTTTGTTTCCTTTTGTGATTGCTTTAAAGAGGTGGCTGAGTGGAGGGCAGGAGGGATGCCTCCCGTGCCCTGTGCTTAAAATAGGTGGAGTGGATGAAGGGAGCAAGGTGAGGGAGAGCCCAGCAAAAGGCAGAAACTGCATGCTTGCTCAGAAAGGAGGGGAAGAGAGATACTTCTGGACTTCCAAGGTATTTTGGAAAGGAGAACCTAGATGGGGGTGTGTAGAGTTTTCCATAACTTTTTATGAAACACACCTGCCAAGTTGATGGATTAGGAGCAAAGTGGAAAAAAAGACATGTGATGCATCAGCACAATGGGCAAGGGGAAGAATTGTTGATAGCTCTTCTGTCAACACTTTCTCATGCTGTATTTTGTTTGTTAACAAAAAAAGTTACCTACTTTAGTGCCTTCTCAAAGAAAACCTGGTTTGGAGTTTGAGGTCCCTTTTCTTTCTGGGGGAGGAAGGGCGGCAGCAGCTCAGTTTAGAAGAGGTCTGGGCACATCTACTGCAGAGCTGTGGCCAGATCAAGGTGCCCTCAACTGTTGGACTTCTGCTGCCATAACTTCGAAGTCAGCACTGTATGGTTCCATGTATGTCACAAAGACGAATGGGGCTGGAATGGAAGCTAAAGCGAGTTCAATTTATGATCTGGGACCTCAGCAGAGCCCCCTAGTTCTGACTAGACAATGCTGGCAGGCTGAATAGAGCAGCAGTGAATGTGTCTGTGCTAAAATCATCTTTGTCTGCCTAGAGCAGATATAGCCTTCAAAAGAAAACTGAAACATGTTCCTGAGTACCTGTAGAAGCCTCTAGGTTTGCTTATTTGAAATCTGCATCTTTCTGTCTCTGGAGTCTGTACGGACACTCAGATTCATAAAGTTTGGAGTTCAAAGGGATCATTAAATCATCTAGATAGATCTCTGAATTGGACTGTTTGGTTGCTGTCCCGAGGACCGTGTCTTTTTTGTCTGGAGTATGTCTTTCATTCAGTTTTGATTACAAGGGGGAGGTGCCACCACTTTCATTAGTAATTGGTGACAGATGTTGGTCACCATCAAAATCTGCTCAAGATCTGACCTGTTCAAGTTGGAGTTTGTCCAATTCCAGCCTGCAGGCAGATGCTCCTACTGGTTTCTTCTCCTTCCCTGGGTGGCTTGGGTCGTCTCCTGTGAAAGTAAATGCTGTAATTGGTCTCTCCTGGTTTTGGTGGGAATAATCACTGGAAATCCTCAAGGATAAGGTGTTTTCTTCACTATATATATATTTTTAAATGGTCTGCATATGTTATCAGCAGAGGTTTTGTATTTACTTCCAGATTATTGATGAGAATGTTGTGCTTTGTATGCTTCAAAAAGCCTTGATGGGAATCTGCTGCACACCTGTTATTTTACTACATTAACATCTGAATATTGTGCATTTTTTTTTTTTTCATCTTCCCTTCTGAAATGGATGTCAGGTTAGTCAGTGTGCAGTTATGTGAATCATTGTATTAGCCCTTTTCATTGTTCCTTCATTTGTCTACTGTTCTATAATTGTCTTGATTTTTTTCATTAACATCAGCATGCTCAGGTTTTCTCCAGCCAGCTGTTTATGGTTGGAGATAGTAACTGTGGTCGCCAGGTACTATCCTGGAAAATGGGAACAGGAGGTGGAATGAGGACTTCTAGCCTGACTGGAGACTCCCCTGTTTCACAGGGGAAGGGAGAAGGCAGTCAGTCAGCCTGTTGCCTGCACAAGAATCTTCGTAAGATTCCCTTCCCCATACACGTGCTGATGTATTTTCCCAGCAGAGGAAGCAGCTGGAATTTTGGCTGTTAATTAGAGGGCAATCTTAAGAGCCTACAAAGGAGGCCTGTCAGGCAGCATAGCTGCACGTGCCAAACTGTAGCTGTCAGTCACCAGGCATATCAGATTAATTTAATGCTCCCCATTTTTTAACAGAGCCCATTCTCATGGGAACAAGAATAATTTTTAAATTCCAAGAGTTGCTTCCAGAGAATGGTAACTTGGCAGCTGCTAAGTCTTGTGGCACTCGTTTTGACATTTCCAGTCACATCTTGGGTGCTGTTTTTTCTTTCTTTTTAATTTCTGAGAATCATTTTTCCTTCTCTCATATACCTACTTCCCTAACAGACTCCTCCAGATCTCATATAAATGTGGAAATTGGAACTAATCCTCATGTGGTGGATTAGCCTGCCCCCTTAATACCATCTTGCTCTTTGTTGTGCAGTCTCTAAACCACAAATGTCATTTCCTTGTGCTATGGTAGGTTCCTGCTGCCTGGTAGAAGTGTAAGGAAGTTGGGGGAAGCAGGCATATGAACTAGCAATATGTAAAGATATACATTTGGGTAAGATGCAAGTCAGTGAGCAGTACCCATAAATCTGTTGGTGCTCTCTTAGCAGTCTGCCTGCCTCAGGCTTTAGGGTAAATGAGGATTTTGAGCAAAGACTTGCAGGGCAGTAGCTGCTGGAACCAGCTTTTTAAAAGCATTTGACGTTTTGTGGAGGGCAGGGGTGCTCAGGGCTGAAACACAGAGGTGGGACCAACCTGAAGGTGAGCCTTTAATGCTGGTTGAAATGCCCTGTGATGGCCTGTGCCGGCTGTACATGCTGCAGTGGGAGGGTGCAGGCACAAGGTGCCCTGTGCCTTACAGATCTCTCTCTTGATTCTTGACCCAATGCTGAATTAGCTGCTTTTGAATCCTCTGGTGCGTGCATTCCAAAAGAGCAGAGCTGTGTGCTTTCAAATCCCCCTGGGCTGTACAAACTTGCCCAGGTGTGATGGGGTGAATACAGTTCCGTTGGATTAGCCAGGGGATGCAGAGATGTGTTTGCAATGATAAGCACTATGGCAGCCTTGATGTGAGAGGTTCTGTGTAATCTGGTTCAAAACTAGGCACTGAGAGATACCTGCTCTGTCAGAAAGTCTTCTGGATAAAAATTGCCCTGGAAGTTTTGGGTACACGTTGGAACTGGTAGAAGGAAATGGGCATGGAGGCCATGTTACATGGTGCAGGTTGACCTACCAGATTTACAGTTTTACAGAACCCCAGCTTTATTTCCTCCTCTTTCCCTTTGTTTCCACACACCTGATGGTGTGGAGTGTTGTGCTTGGGGAGCCACTCTGTTTGTAGAAGGGTGGGATGGTTCAGCCCTCACCCACCCTCTGTCTCAGTTGTGCCGAGATGGAAATGGCAGTATTCCTTCCCAGTGCAACATCTCTATGCATCGAGTCTCAGACCTGGTTGTATGGTGCTAAATCCTGGTGTTGGCACATAACTGTGGTTTGGAGACCAGTTTTAGAGCTGTGTTTGAGATTGATGAATGCTAGGTGTCACATAAATACTGAAAATGCGTGTTTACCCCATACATAGTTTTTCAGCAGTAGATTGATACAACTGTGAAAGAGCTGGGGAGAGCCAACTTCGTGTTAAAATTATATCTGACAGGCTAGAGGAGGTTATTGTTACTGGTTGTTCCTGAGCACTGCTTTTTTACACTGTTGTACAGGGAGATGACAGCAGTCTTTGTACTGTACTCTGGAACTTGATGCATTTTACTGCTGGACAGTTTTTCTAAGCTCATGCAATAACCCTAACATTTAATAACCAGCTGAATTATGGGCAGAGGAAGAATGTCCTGGGGAGATGGGATAACTGGATTTGGAGAATTGAATTACTTACCACATTTTATGGAGTTTATAGCACTTTAGGACAAGGCAGGAACAGTGCAACCATTTAACCTGACCTCTGCAATACTGCATGTTTCACCTGTGTTCCCTGTTTGCATATTTATCCATCTGTTTGTGCTGTGGTGGCCACTTAGAACCATCATGGCATTGGGGTGCCCAGAGGGGTAAGTAGAATAGCAGTGTGGAGCAGACATGTCCCTCCTCTGGACCAGGCTGCTGTTTCACGTGCCTGCCTCCGTGCCTGATGTGCCCCTGTTCCCTGCCAAGTAGAGCCAGTGTTTGCAGCTAGGGCACTCCACTGGTGATCTGTGAGAGGAGCTGTTCACTCCTGCCTGGTTTTGCCCTCTTCCTGGAGGCTTAGGGTTTTCTGAGCAGTTGCGGCCAGTCTGGCTGGTGCATTGATTGCATCCTGAACAAATGGTGGCAGAGGAAAGCTTTGTGCATGGCTTTCTGTTCTCTTGTGATCAGCTAGGTAATCTGAAACGGGGTCTGCATGCATGCGAAGTACTGGGTGACCAGCTTCTTTCAGTGCAGTCATGATTTCAAATGATGTTTGAGCAATTTTGGGTTTGCACCAAAAAGAATCATGCTTTCAGGCACCTGCTGGCTGCAGGGAAGGCTTTAAATGCGGCAGAACTAGTGCAGTGTGTATGCTCTGCCAGCTGCGATGAATGGAGAAAGTTACTTGGCCAGCAGTAGCTCTGCAATTGGTCTAGTTAGAGAAGGGGAAGAGAAGTGAGCACAGGGGAAGCTGCAGTAATGGATTTCACCCACTGAACCCGAGCAAACAGTTTTTGAACTGTATTCAACATGGAATCCCTGTCCTTGAAAGAGTGAACCTTTCAGCTAAATGATTTCAATTTAAAAAAAAATGCTAAGGCTATAAGTGAGGATTTTTAAAAATTTATTTATTTTTAATTGAGAAGTGACATTTGGTTGAGAAATGTTTTCTTTTGTATTTACAGGTGACAAGAAGTACATTATGGGACCAAAGATTTCCACTGTTGATGCCACAGTCTTTGGGCATCTGGCACAGGCAATGTGGACACTACCAGGGACTCGACCAGAGAGACTAATCAAAGGTAAGAAAGCTGAAGTGATCTCTGATGAAAAAACTCTTGTGGCATTCGCAGTCTTTAAACTTGGAGCACCTGGGATGAACATTCGAGGAATGTAGCAATGTTTCAGCTGCATTGCAGACTGTTGTGCCTTTGATGTAGCATTTGTATCACATAATGTTGTTTTCTTTTCAAATTCTTGTTTTTCTTCTCTTTTATGTTCTACACAGTAATTGTTTCTGTCCCAGTCCTTGATATTTTCCCTGTTTAACATTCAGCAAGACCTGAATGTCTCTAAGGAATGAATGCTGGGTAAAGTATGAGAAGACAGAAGCATGGCCATGAGCCAAGTTCTGCTGAACTGAGTAGTTTCATTGATGATAAAACTGCAAGTATCATGGAAATTACGGCCTTTGCTGTTGCTGGACGTGCTGGGCAAGGAAGAAATGCAGCCTTACTTCGGAGTTACTGTCATTTTGTATTAATTGGAAAGCAACATACCCTTCCCCTACACACTTCTTTTTTCTTCTTTTTTTTTTGTCTTGTGTGCGGTTACAGGCATGTGAAAGTGTGTTTGCATCCCTTTTCAGAATCAAACCACACAGTATGAAAAATGGGAAGAGCTAAGGAGGAAAAAGATGTGAAATAGGGCTAAAAGAATGAATTTGACCCGTAGATCTATTATGTGCACGAGAGTGTTACTGAAGTAACAGTCAGGAGGCATAGACTAGTTTGAAGGTTTTTGTTATTTCTTCTCTAAGCATAGTTGTGTATATAAACATAAGGCATAAGGTACTGAGAACATTAGGCGTGAGCCGGTTACCATCTAAACCCATGAATTTATCTTGCAGACAACGCTGCCATCTGGTGGTGAAAACCCCAATTTCACTGTTTTTTAATAAGTGTATTCTGTATGTATAGGATCAAATTCTGTGTTTAGAAACCAGGTTTCTGAAAAAATAAGCAAGAATTTTACTATGTAAGCTTAGTCTCGCTATCTTATCCTGATTTATTTCAGTAGAGGTTGAATTTGGGATAGTTGTTTTGCTACATGCATTTATGTTCATTCCGGTGTAACCTTTCTTGTTGCATGTAGGTTAATAATACGTGTTTTAAGTTACAAACAGAGGGTTGATGGGATCTTGGAACTTGAAACCTCTTTGGAAAGAATCTGCACAATTTATTTCCATACAGTGCTAATCTGTTTCTGGATTAACAGATGAGTTAGACCATTGTTGGCTGTATGTATTTACTGGAGCTTGTTGTGCTGTGTTGTAGGTGAACTGATCAACCTTGCTATGTATTGTGAAAGAATAAGGAGGAAATTTTGGCCAGAATGGCACCACGATGATGATAACACTCTGTATGAATCTGAGGAAAGCAGTGAAGCAAGCAAGACTTACTCCCCTTTGCAGGACTTCAGTTTTTATTCAAGGACAGAAACCTTTGACGAGGAAGGGAACAGTATTTCTCAAACCCCTGACACGGATTACACTGGACACTCCCTCTTTGATTCAGATGTGGACATGGATGAGTACAGAGATTATGAACAGCGCAAGTGATGCGTACAGGCATATCCCATTTTACAGATAAGCTGTTTCTTGGGATCATTCTGATTTGTCTTCTCCTCCAGGTCAGGAAGAAGTTATATCACTTCAGAAGAGACCATTGTGCTTGTCTCAGCTGTCACATGCTACCTGGACTATTTCAGCCTTATTTCATTTTGTGTAACTATTCAGGTGGAACCAAGGTAAAGTGTTATTTAAAACAAACACAGGCAAACTGGAGGTCCAGAGGGCAACAGGACCTTTCAATGACCTGCATTTTTGTTTTTGAGTTCAAAACCAGATACTGCAGCCAGGTGGGACAGACCTCTGGGAAGTGGAGCATTTGTCAGAGCTAGTTTGTGTTGATACATTCTCTTTACAGGAATGCACTGAGGACAAAAATGGAAGAAGCATGACTGGCACATCTTTCTCCCAAGGAAGAAAATGATTGATGCTGTATTGAAAAGGACCTTTGGGTGTGGGCTGATGGCCAGCTGAACGTGAGCAGCATCTTGGCTTGTATCAGAAGTAGCGTAGCCAGCAGCACTAGGGAAGTGATTGTCCTCTTGTACAAGGCACTGGTGACAAATCCTTTGTTCAGTTTTGGGCCCCTCACTACAAGAAAGACATTGAGGTGCTGGAGAGTGTCTCATTCCTGCCTAAAGAAGAGCAATGAAGCTGGTGAAGGGCCTGGAGCACAAGTCTTATGAGGAACAGTTGAGGGAAATTGGGGTTGTTTAGCCTGGAGAAAAGTAGGCTCAGGAGAGACCTTACTGCTCTCTATGACAGAGGTTATAGTGAGGAGGATGTCAGTGTCTTCTCCCAAGTAACAAGGGACAGGAGGAAAGATCCTCAAGTTGTGCCAGAGGAGGTTTAGATTGGATAGGAAAAAATGTCTTCACTGAAAGTGTTCTCAAGCATTGGAACAGGCTTCCCAGGGAAGTGGTGGAGTCACCATCCTTGGAGGTATTTAGAAGACATGTAGATGTGGCACTTAGGGACATGGTTTAGTGGTGGACTTGATAGTGCTAAGTAAACAGTTGGACTTGACAATCTTAAAGGTCTTTTCAAACCTAAAGAATTCTGTGATTCTATGAGTTCTGGGAGGATTTTATTTGATAGCTACTTATACTCTGGGTTCATATGTTATTACAGTGTCTGCAGGAAAGAGCTGCTCCCAGTTCTTTTGGAGACAGTCAAGGAGGACAAGAGAAAAACATTGCTACAGAAAGCAGCTTTTAGTGTTGTTCTTTGAAAAATATTGAAATTGCTACTTTAGAATATTTTTATTCAGGAGGGAAATGTCAGTTTTATTCTGTAATCTCCCAAACACTCATCTGGAATGTGTGTTGGCTGAATTTCTTCTGTGTTTTCAATTTATTATTATGTTTTTACTTCCTGCCCCTGGCTTTTGCCTGCTATTGTTAGGCAAGGCTAAAGAATTGGGTTTTGTTACTTAACATGTGGTGTATCTCAGCAGTGAGTGTTTTGTGCTTTTTACCAACAGGCACATCAAAGCCATGGAGCTTGCAAAGTGATTTGGGGTATTTCTAGGTGTGGGATGCTGTGTAAATGCAGGATATTGGCCCAGGCAGTCGAATGCTTTAGAGCTGTTAGGAAGGTGCTTCAGGGGGTGCTGGGCACTGTGCGAGCTTACAGTGCACAGTCCCTAAAGCTGATGCATAGGAGGCAGTTGAAACAGGACAGCTAAGTCAGCACTGCTGTCTGTGGAGATTTCCAGGTGTTTAAAGAGTGACCAGAATTGATTTTAACACGCCTTTGCTAGCACATGTGTGAATCTGGAACCCCAAATCTAGAATGATTGCACAGGTGCTGAAATGCTTTGTGTTCGTGTCTCCTTAAATGCGGGTTAAAGGTGAGAATGAAGAATGATTTACTCACCACTTTGAAGGCAAAGCATTTATGTCAGGGTTGCTTGGCTGTGACTACTTGATGTTAGGTAAAGGTAAAGCATACAGAACATAGAGAGCTGTGGTATTTGTAAACATGCATATACAATTGGGTATTTGCCTGCAGATATTGATGGAGGTCTGTTTGGAAATACTTTAATTATGACTTTCACAGTTATTTCTAGTTAGATTAATTAGGATCCTACAGCAAAACTGTTACAATGTGTTGATTGTGCCATACATTCTGGGAGCAGACAGGGCAGACAACTGCTTTAGGATGTTAATTATTGGTAGTCCTAATAGTCTGGAGCTTGAATTCCAAATTTTAAAGCTGGATTCCAGCTTTAAAAAAATACCTCTCTTTTTTATATCGTGAAGTGTCTTCTGCAGAGGAAAGCACTTGTTCTGGGGAAACACTGAGCTAGCTGTGGCTCTGAAAGCAGAGACACACAGGTCTGCAGTGAGTTCCTGGGACTGTTCATGCATAGGAACTACCGCTTCAAGAGCTGAGTTTTGGTGTGGTCTGAGATGGGTATGAATTCATACCCATTTCCTCAACTCTTCAGTTGTCATGTTCCATTGTTGTGGGCAAGTATCATGTGCAAAGTGAACCAAAACTGAGGAGGAGGAAGATATCATCCAGTTACTTGGGAATCTTCTCGGGAAACCAAGGAACAAGAATCAGGCACAAGCATGTCTTGGGCTTGAAAGCACAGAGGTGATGGCCTGAAATGCTTGTGAAACTTCATAGGCAAGTTAGGGCAGATTCTACTTGCAAAAATGTAGGTATTGGTGTTCTAGGTAAGACATCTATGTGAAAAAGCTTCTCTTTAGAAGTATTTGTGTGTTGGAAATTCAGATGGAGATGTTCTCAGTCATTTACCAATGCATATTTGAAGGCTGTGCTTTCTCCATCTTAGCTTGCAGCAGGTGAGTCCCACCTGTGAGTCCCAGCTATAAGACCAGCCTGAGTTCAGCTGGGAGTATCACCTTTATAATTTCAGTGGGCTGACAGATCTGTCCATGGCAGTGTCCTTGCAACATCCCAAACGCAGGTTAACCACAAGTCAGTGACATCATTTCCCCTTCTGTGTGCACACAGCCAGGTCTGGATTTTTTATGGCCGCAAGCAGTGGTGGGTGCGGAGACAAGAGACGCAATGCAGTCTACAGCTGGTGTCATGCTCAGAGCTGCTGCCATGGCAGGGAGAGCCAGTGCTGCTGCACCATTGCATGGGGACCTGCGCTGAGGATGTAGGTGCTTCCCTGGGCTGTGGTCACGTTCACATCTGGCATTCCTTGCTTTTGTTTTGAATAACTGGTGTGCCTCAGTGGAGCCTGAACCTACCCTGACCAGCCAGGCTTTGCCCCTGGAGAGGGTGAGGAAGAGAGGATTGGAAGGGGTTGCAGAAGGGGAAGTGGCTTTTTGCTGTAGCTGTGTTCTTCAGGTTGTTGATTAGCAAAATGACTATTTTGCAGCTTGTCACATGTGTTCCCTTTCTGAGGGACTGCCCAGGTTACTTTAGAGAAGTTAGCTTTCCTCCTCATGACAGCTACTCTTGATAAAGTCATTGGTTTTGAGCTTAGCTGTGTTTCCAGCTGGAGGTGAAATAAGGAAGTGGCATCTCTGTAGGAATTTACAGGTGTAGTATTTTGTCCAGGTTTGGTGGGAAATCCTTAGGTTTGTGTATCCCTTCTGGAAACAAAATTAACTGTTGGATTTCTTTAAAAGGATCTAATGCAAGCTTTTTTCCTTTAGAAACTGGTCTTGCTAAAGTGTTCCAGGGGAAAAAAAGGATGTTTAAAAAAATATACACAAACAACTTCTTTAACCTTTATGACAAAGTGTTCATTATGGTTTGCATTGGGAAAGAGAAGATGAGTTTTTCTTAAAAAAAAAAATATCAAAAAAAGACCCCCAAAACAAAACAAACCAACAGACAGCATCCTTATTTCCTCTTGTTTTTTTTTGGTTTTGTTCCCCTTCCCTCTCCTTTTCCCCCATTCCTCCTCTTATCAAAATTGTGAACAAGTCCATTGTATGGACCTCCATGCCAGAGGTCCTGTCCATGCTGCTGATGGGGGTCAGGGACATCAGGTATCTCTCCAGCCATGAAACTTGGGACACTGCAGGATAACAACTGCTTGGCAGGTGAGCTGGGATGGCTGCTTCAAGCTGGAGGGTGATGGATGCCACGATGTCGTGTCTGAGGTGACTCGGACCACATAAGGTATTTCCTTGGCTGGGAGTCTTGCTCCTGCAGCCAGTCACTCAGTGCGGGACAATGTAACAAGGGTCCCTGAGCCCTTCCTCATGAGAGTCGGAGGTTCGTGAGGTCTCTGAGAGCATTACAGCTGCTGGTGACAAACCTGGTTGTGGTCCCAGCCACAGCCTTTTGCTGATTTTGTGGAGATGGTGGTATGTAGTCCTGTCAGAAGGAGAGGAAAGCTAGCTTGGCCTCCTCAGCACTGTCTGGCCCCTCCCAAAATAGGGCAGGGGGCCTTTGGGATGGTCAGGGGAGGAGGAGAGAGTGGGATGCAGGAAGGGTGCTAGGTGGTGGGTGGCTGCAGGAAGACTGAACCTGTGTCCTGGCTAATGCCACTGTTCCAGTGACTGGACAGGGTGCCCTACCCTGCTCACAGACTGGAGCATGACCTCTCATCCTGGTGAGGAGACAGTGCCATTCCTTCCAGTTACTTTACCTTAAATACTACCAGAAGCCAAGTACTGCCTTTGTTTTTCTATTGCTGCTTTAATAGAATGGGTAATTATTCTGCTGCTTGTTTGGCAAAAGGGAGTTTAAATCAAGGCCTGCATTTTCAGTAGAGTTAGATTTGAAGTAGTCTTGTTTTTTTCATGTGAATTGCAGTGTTTGACTGGGTAACACTTTGTCATGTCAGAAGGGATTTGTTTACCCTTGCTGGCCTCATTGGCTCTGTCAGCAGAGCTCACTGTTACCGAGGGGGTGAAACAGACGGTGGGATGTATAGGTCCTACAGAAATCCTTCAAATGTGTTGCTTGATTTAAAAGCCAAAGCGAACCTGATGTTTCATATCTGAAGGACTGTTTCCATCCAATTACAACACTGAAAGTCACACATTTTGATCTTTAAAACTTTGGCAATGTCCCTCCAGATCTATATTCTCTTTGAAAAATTACTGCCTGAAATATTTCTGCAGCAACAGTTCAGGCATGAATTCCCTTTTGTCAATGATGTCTGCTCAAGTAATCATGACAGTTTCATACTGTTTTCATTGAAAGGGCTGTATCTGTCAGATACTAAGCCTTACAAAATATTGCCCGCTGGAAAAGTGTGTTATGTGCAGATTTATGCAGGGCAGCTCACCAAGTGAAATTTCTGTGGCAGGGGATGAATTCAAGTGGGTCTTGTCCTTAGATGTTTGAATAAGAATTTGAATCTGTTTTCTGACAAGTAGCCATTTAGCCCAACCCTCCCCATCCCCAAACACTGCAAAATTATTTATTAGGCATATGATAGAAGTAAAGCAGATTGTGCTCTCTAAAAGCACAATTATACTGGGTGGTCCAATAGCTGGCATGTGGAAATGGATATACATAGCGTAGGTGTGCGTCATGCCCATGTGTGTCAGAGGCTGTGATCTGGAGGATCACCCAAGTAATCCTGTTTAATCCTGTGGACCAAGAGGACTAGAGGTACCTTTGACTGACTGCAGTGTTTTTCAGCATTTCATTAGTGCCACGAGTATTCATGTACACTGTGCTACTCTTTGAGCATTCATTAGGGCTAGGTAGCAGCGCAGGGACTCATTCAGTAGCTGTGGCTCCAAGTAAGGCTGTCAGAATACTGTCATCCTGTGCCTGCACCGCATGGTTGTCTGTGTCCTGGTGATGAAGGGCAAGGAGCCATTTGGTTTTGACCCTTTCCAGAGCATTGCAGCAAGCACAGCTTTGAGCTTCTGGTCAGCATGGGCTGTTGTGTTCCCACTGGCCCCTTGTTGAGAGAAGGTGTTCCCCTGTACTGCATGCATTGCTGGCGGGAGCAGGGGTTTGATATTCAGGTCAGTGACCCTAATCTTTATGGCTCTGCCTTAGTGGGTAAAAGTGTTGCAGCATCAGTCAGCTCTCTGTGGTTTTGGGCAATTCTCTCTTTGATGGCCATCGGGGAGGACTTCTTTTTGCAATCCTTCCCTATGGAATTACCCTAATGTGAAGTACTTGTTGGCAGAGGTTTCTGATGCTCCCTGGGCTGCTTGGAAAAGAAATGGAATGTCTTTGTGCAGCACAGGAATTTCAGTTGATGAAAACATTGAGTGTGTCACTACATGCTAAAATGAGAGTACCATGTCCTGGTTGCCTCACTTCCAGATTCTTAAGGCGAGAGGAGATTGTTATGGGCATTGTTTGACTTGTGCATAAAAAGGGTTGTGGGATTTTGTCTAATGATTTCCACATTCAGCTCAGCAAACTAAAGCTGAAACGAAGCATATGCTTCCAAAAGGCATTCAACTTCTGCAGAACAAATAAAATCCTGCCCCCTTTGAAGCTGCTGACAAAAGTGCCATTTGCTTCAGCGGGGCCAGAGTTTCCAACCAAGTTTCCAAGTGACCCAGAATTTACCACTTCTCTTATTCCTCTGTGTAATTATCCTCACCTAAAGATTTGCCTTACCTGGGGCAGTAAGGCAAACAAGATGTGGCTGTTGGGGTTTTTCTAAGCTCTCTAACCAACAGCAAGAAGAAGACAGTGCTGTTTTAATCATCACTGGTTGTGCTGATATTCTCACTAGGCGCTATGTTTGTGTGTGTTCTTCCCTCACTTCTTAGCTTGTTCTTATGACAAAAGTCTTCTTGAATGCACAGGGTTTTATTTTTCAGGATACTTGAAGAATACAAGTCCCAAAGTTTTAATCATTGGAGTGTGCAATTCAGCAAGAAATAAAATATATGTGGATGGGTGTGGGGGGAGGGATATATCCAGCTAGCTGCAGTGTACAAGGTTCAACTAACAAAAAGAAGCAGCACATTGCTAAATGAGGACTCTAATACTGTAGCTACACTATGTTGTTTGTCTATGAACTTACATAAGACGTACATTATTTTAGCACTGTTATTACTACTAGTTTATAAAGCCATATTTAAAATTGTACACTTACTTGTAACATAACTTTGTGCATTGTGTTGATCCATGTATGTATATATATGAAAATCTGTATATTTTGTCTTTAATGCTGTATGTCATTGGTGTGTAAATTATAACTAATGGATCTAAAAATACCTTTCTGGCTCATGTCCTTATTCTGACAGTGGGCTGTGGTTTCTGTAGAGCTG